AGACTTTCTACAATCATTACTTTGACAAATGTTCCAATACGTATAAAAAAATTTGAGAAATTTTTTAAAAAGTTATAAAATAGAAATTCTAAAAAAATTTGAAATTCACAAAATAAATTCTGAAAATTATATTTAAAAAAATTTCATTAGGGTAATATATAACTTCAGAACAATCTTATAATGTATCACTTTTGTGAAGTCTATCTCTTTTATGAAAAGAATTTACGAATGTCGATCAGAATGAAAACATTTTCATAAAAATATTTTTATATATTCTTTATGAAATTTTTTAAGACACCACTGTACTTCTCGTAAGTAGGGCGATACATGATTGATAATAATCTTGTTTCTCTCGAATCCCTTTTTGTTGCGGTAATCATAATAAGACAGCAATCGCTGCTGCAAGGAATACGGCAATTCCTTGTACGTCATGTACTGTTGCAGCTGCTCAATTAATTGTAAATGTCTCTTACGAGTGGAATGAATCGTCATCATGAACTGCGAGAGTTGCGCTGCGGCGATTTCAAGAAAAAAAAACACTTTTTATTGATTAATGAAACCACAAAACTTAATCTTAGGCTAAGTAAACTTATAACAACAGAAGAATTGTGAAAATTAAAATAGAAGAGACATAATTTCAGAAATTTAATACAGATGATTATAAAAAGTTAGCTTTACGTCACTGAAGATTATCTGAAAGAAATAAAAAAATTTACGAAGTTATATAGCATAAAGATAAAATTTACGAAGTTATAGTATAAAAATAAAAGTAAATATTTCAGAGCTTGTTTCTATATCTAAATATGTTTAATATTTTGTTAAATTGGTACAATCTTTTGTTCAAATTAATTTTAATAAAGAAATTTTCTTAATTAAAATCTAATTAAACAGAACGTACCCAGCATATAAATAAATCCGAGCAATCCAAGAACGGAGAGAATTATATTATATATAATATCCTCTGGAGCTCTGACATCCAAATAATGCGTGGATGCAGTTAAGGCAATAATAGCTCTGTTAACACACGTTAGGTAGATCGCGAATTTTGTTTTCCTTTTCAGCATGTAAGACGATCGTATCCATGATCTACAAATTTGTTTATGCTTTTATTATATCTTTTGTTTTGATTGGCCGCGCATTTTATATAATTATCGTGGGGGAAAAAGCATCTCAGTAAATAAATTAATAATAAATTATTAATATCAAACTCGCTCAGAGGTGACAAATCCGATGTTTGTCTCTGTTAGAAATAAACTCATTTGTTTCCAAAGTCTGAGTAGTAAATAATCAGACAAAAAATTGGAAAACAAAAATCTTGCAAATTTAAATTTTAATCAGTTTTCATCGATTCTTACTTATCAATTTACTGTTAGGTCAATAAACTTTGAATAATTTTTCCGACAATTTATTCTTACGTTACGTCAGATTTTGTTATTTATCTGCCATCTATTTACTGACATTATTATAACAGAATATAAAAGAATTTGCTTAAATTTGGTGTCTTTTTATCAATATTTGTACCAAGTATTTGACAAAATTTGTTTTCGACAGGCTTGTCTTACTGGGATCCCTTCAATTTTAAAATTGTTATATAAACAAAAAGATAGAAGCCCATACAACATAAACTTCCAAGGAACATCCCAAAGACATTGTCGAAGAACGTAATATTCTCAGAATGTCCCTAGAACGTCCTTCGATAAAGTGTGCTGTATGAAAGCTAAAATAGATAAATAATAAAATAAAGAGAGAAAACAAAACAAAGAAAAAAAAGAAAAAAAATTATAGATGCTTTTATATGTATACTCATTTAAGGTATTTCTCCGGTGACAATCGCATTAGAAAGTTAATCGCGTACAATCTACACTCTTCAATGAGAGAATGACCTCGGTTTGCGCATAAGAGGCAATGTAACTCTGTACAACGCTATAAAGACCTGTGCAAAACAGACGAGTTTTCATCCAATCTGAGATCAATTTTCTCGTTGAACGGGATATATGAATACGCCTCTCCGCGCGCGCTCTCTGAAGAGAAAAACTATTGAGGCGAGCGTACACACACACACACACACGCACGCACGCACTCACCCACGCACGCACGCACGCATAAATGTCGTATCTGTGTACACGAACATTAGTTCGCATTGAAGACAGTTGAAATGTGGCAATAGCATGTCCTTGTCTCGGCGTGAGAAAAGTATCAAATTACAAATTTAAATTATTCTAATTC